GTAATAGATAAATAAAAATGAGACAAAAATAACTTATCTTATTAAAAGTTCTTCAAAGACCATAAGAGAGGTCAATGCTAAAGGTCTTAATATGGGTTTAAAACTAGTACAGAAGCACTAATAGTTTGTTAATAGTCTGCATGGTGATAATATTAAGTGGGGGATAGATTAGAACTTAAGTTATGAGTTGATACTGAATACTAGACTAATTATTTTGTTGATCCTGATCTTCCTACTTCTCTTGCTTTAGGGCAACAAAGCTTCATCTGTCAGTGTATTTAACTTCTAAATTGTTGTATTATACTCAGGTGACCGTTAAGGACCTTGGGCCTCTTGTTTTAGAGAATTTACTGAGTTACATGTTGCAAGAAGGGGTTTAGCAATACAGTGATATATATACATTTATGGTATCTCTCTATTATATAAACATACAGAGAGCAAATATCTTCATACCTGTATGAAGTTTTTCGAAGGACATAGGTCATTACATGACTTAATCACACAGCACAGTAATATCTATATAAAAGACTTACTGTGGAATCATTTTAATTCGTGGGGGTCAATGTTCGTGGACAAGCAAAATTTTACTTGTTCGAGGGGATGTAATTTCGTGGGTTACCAGTTTATACAGTTGATTCAATTAATCAATATGTTTACACAATAAACGTTCATGGGGATGTAATTTCGTGGGTAAGGGTAACCCACGAAATCCACGAACAATGATGATTCCACAGTACTCTACTTAGCAATATAGCATGGTTTTCATGTATAAAAATGTACAAAATACGCAAGTAAAATAATAATCATTTTAGTTACAATGTAAACGAGTATTTAATACAGTTCTTGATCGATTTTACATAGAGAATAGAATACTATGTGTTATAAGTTTCATGTCAGAGCTGCATAGTTTCAACGTTTACCCTTATTTTTCTTGTAGACCTCTGAATGCTATAATTTTTTTTCATCAAATTTTACTCGCAATAAAGAATCTGGGGGGATAAGACGAGCCATGTGCCCATGCCCATTTTTCGGCTATGCAAGAACATTTATTGGAAGAAATCTCTCAATTGTTCGAATTTACTCAAGCATTTTAATGTTTACCGTAGTTTTCAAAATGATATTTATATTCTAAACAAGCTAAACAGTTGACTTTCATTTACTGTCACAAATGTCTAACATGGGTAAGGACTTCTATTAATTATTCTATTAATTAATCTGCATATTGAGTGTTTACACTTATTGTGGAGATATTATAAAAATGTTAACATCGTATATAATGATAATGGTGATCTAGAAGCGCTTTTATTTAAAATAAATAAAACGGGAATAAAAGTATTCAAATATCTATTTTAATTTTTATCCGGCATTTTAAATAATTTACTGTAAATAAGTTCATTACTACATGTATATATTTTATTTCCAGTGAAAAATATGTTATTCCTATAGACATTTTTTATAAAGTAAAACAAAATTAACCCCCCCCCCCAAAAAAAAAAATAAGAGCATGACTCGAACACTTTCCTCAATAAACGTCCCTCTAAAGAGCTCATCGCTAACCACTAGACCACGGAGTCACACTAACATTTCCATTTAAATAGCATACAGTTCTCTATATTTAGCAAGCATTTTTGGACTTAGAATTTTTTAAGACCACGGTGAAAATTTAAGTAAGTTAACTTAATTTTTTATGTAGAGTGGGTCTTCATACCAAATTTTTGCATGTGTAAAAAGCAACATCTTTCCATTGCCTTTCATTAATCGTTCTCAAAAAAATGGTACGATGACCCACTCTATTTAAAAAATGTAGTTATATCATCCAATTTATGTCAGTTTCTGTGAAAATTGAGCGTGATGCCATTTTGTTGTGTTAATCAGAATCATTTTCGCTGTTACAGTATTCAGGTTTTGTCAAATTTATATGCAAATGGTATAAGCATTACATTAATTCAACAAAAAGTGAAATTTTTGTAAAATGAATTTATTGATTTTTTATCGATCGTTATGTAGGCATATGGCTCGGCTTATCCCCCCAGTTTCTTTGAAAATCTGTCAGAAAATATCTATGTAATGCAATCATGCCACAAACAGCTGACAAACACTTTTGAAGTTTGGTAGGCACACCTCCATCATCGAGATCGTTGTCTTGCATGTAACAATTTAAGCTGTCGCCAGTGTCTCCATGACAACATCATAATAAATATGCCTTACTGAAATCGTAGATTTTATATTTCTGATCAGATTTTAAACTTGATTTCAAGTTAACTGGTCCGGACAAGTGTCTCCATCCATCCCTTTCCGACCGAAATTCCTGCGAAATTTTTTATTATCAAACATCGGACGTGTTTCTTGTATTTTTTAAACATCGAATATGGGTTCTCATGAATATCGTACAAAAATTCCCAGACGCCAATATGCTCACTATAATTGATCACAAGTAGCCTTTCACAGAATATTCCTTTCAAAAAGAATCCTTTGCCAGGTGAATTTGAAGCGTAACCGCTTTTCAAGCCAATTTACACCTTACGTAATTTGTCAAAATCTACGACGAACAGTTAGTGCAATATTTATATTCGATTATATTCGATTGTCCGTCTCAAATGTATATATATATAAGTAATAAATAACAAGTTTAAAAACTTCACTGGGAAATGAAGTGGGTTGGTATGTGATCAAAGGCCTTTGGCCTTCACAGGATTTGATCACGTGACCAACCCACATCATTTCCCAGAGAAGTTTTTTAAACTTGTTATTTATTTCTTAAAGGTGCTTAGTCACAGATTTGAAGTTAATATTTTCTCAAATTTTCTGTATAATATCATGACTTATATATTGCAATAGCATTTCACACGAAAATATAATTAAAAACTTATTTTATCTGGAAATTATTGGAACTACGAATTCCTAGACGCGTTTGATTAACACATCCTTGCACTTTCACAAATTTTATCTTTATCCTTAACATTTAAGAAAAGAAGCGATTTTGTTGTGTATTAATGAAAAACATTACATCTATAATCCAGAAAACTCAGAGTAGAAATGTGCGAAAGCAAACCCCTCACTAATATCGTCAGCCCGTGCTCAGTGTTGTGTACAGAGTTTAACAAATTGAATACACCCATGAAACTGTTTTTGTAAACAGGGCACAAGCTCTGTTATTGTTAATGTTTACGATTCACCGGGTGTGTTCAAATGTTAAAGTCTGCACACACCACTGAGCACGGACTGACAATACTGTGAGTAGGTTTTGCTTTCGATCATTTCTACTCTGAATTTTCTGGATTATAGTTTTAATATTTATTATTAATACACAACAAAATTGCCACTTTCCTTAAGTATTAAGAATAAAATTAAAATTTGTGAAAGTGCAAGGATGTGTCAATCAAACGCGTTCAGAAATTTGAAGTTTCAATAACTATGAGATGAAATAAGATTTTTATTATATTTTAGTATGAAATGCTATAGCAACATATATGTCATGAAATTATACAGAAAATTTGAGAAAATATTAACTTCAAATCTGTGTCCAAGCACCTTTAAGTATTGTGATGCAGATGGGCTTGATATGATGTACATCAATACATAAAATGAAGTACCAATGTTTTTTGATACTTTTCGGAAGTCACTTAGGTGACCCATTGCTTATCTCTTTTCATCTGTCAATATGCTACATGCATCGTGCTTGAAGATTTGAACATTTTCAGTTTCTTCTCTTGAACCACTGAGCCAGTTTCAAACAAGTTTGGTATCTACAGGTGAAAGGGGAACAAAAATTAAAACCATTCAACATCATCCAGGGGTAGAAACTCCCTTAAATTACAACTTGCAAATAATTGCGAATACAACAAAAATGAACTCGCAATTTCAAAAGACAACTCTCAATTTTAAAATGAAACCTTTTTTAAAAAATGCCAATGCGGCCATCTGTCCATCTTTTAAAAATTTTTCGACAAGATCATTGGACATGGCACGTGGTCGTTCATTTAAATGTGACGGATATAAACAGTAACTAAAGAGAGAAAGATTAAAACTGGATTGAAACGGATATTTTTTTCCCAGGCGAAAATTTACATTGAAAAAAAAAACAACTTGCATTTTTTTGCAAGTAACAAAATTTTTAACTTGCAATTTGGAATTTCTAACTCACATTTTGCCAGTTGTATATAGTGAATTTCAAACCCTGTCATCTCATTATTTATCCATTACTTTGTCACTTATAATTAAACAATGTAAATAATGTAAATGATAGGTAAATTAAGTAAAAAAAATTATACAAGAATTTTTAATATACATGTATTATATGAATAGGACTTCTATGGTTTTTAAAAGTTAGGTAGACTTGTAAATAATTAATGAAAAAAGAAAATGAGACAAAAGTACCATATTGATATTTATTATGTACATTAGATTTAATTCAAAGACCTGGAGAGGCCATTATGGTGTGGGTATTGTTTGGGTGAACTCTGTGAATATTGTGTAATGTCATCTTGTTATGTTTAGTAATACTGAGAGATGGTAAATAGCACTGGCCTAAACTGGCAAATTTCTGAGTTGTTTCTGATTATCAGACTTACTATTTTGTTGATCCCTGATCGTTTTTCAGTTTCAGTTTATTTTGTGTTAATATATCCATGGATCCTTTAGTGTTGTATTATACTCAGAGCGCCAGGGATGTGAATCAATTTAGATCTATGTAATGCATCTATCGATGCATGCTTACCATCCATTCTTTGGATGATTTATAAGACCTTTAGTTTGTGGATGAATAACTTCCCAATCAAATTGTATCCTTGAACTGTATGTAGGGTTAATTTATGTTTTGATTTTATTTATGGGAGTACCTGTATAAAGTATAAATTATTACTAAATTTCATGTCATATAAAAAAAATCCTAATACTTCATTTAAAAAGTTGTCAGTTATTTTTGCCTTTCTCATAGAAATCATGATAGAAGATTTAGGAAATACAACAGATACAAAAATAGATATATTTCCATTTGACAGACAAGTTTGCAGCTTTGTGGCCATTCCTGGGAATTGTAGCAGAGGTCATTGTACTGTGCATCATTATCTTTATATATGAGAAAAAGCGAAGCCGTGAAATGGAGGATGAAGCTGATGGCGGTGATGATATTGCGTAAGTAACTTGACAGCAAAAACATTTAAGGTTGCTGCCGATAATTATGGTAAATGTACTGAAGTTTGTAAGCTTAGTTCATAAGGTGTTTTAAAAGAAAAACATAATATACCGTATACAGGGTTATTTTCAGCCCGTGTTGATTTCGCCCTTTCACATTTGCAAAGAATTTTGCTACGTTTTAAATTCGCCCACTTCAGATGAGGGCGAAAGGGGCAAAAATAAAATGGGGGCGAAAATTTGCCTGTATACAGTATAATTAAAAAAAATATAGATTAAAAAAAAAAGTTTATAAGCAATGAGTTGTTAAATCTGATTTTCAATTTGTCTTGTAGAAATGCTGATGACCACAAAGGAAAAGATGTCCGTCAGAGAAATGTCAGGACTTAAAACCCAGGAAAGATAAGCTGATCTCTACAAATGGAAACATTCTAATGTCACTACACAAGGCCTGCTGTGTATTGTCACTGCAGGCTAACATATATGAAGTTTAGAATATTGAATCAAATGCATGCATAATACCTGCATATTTGTCTTCAGGATATAAAAATGGGGCATTATAGGTCAAAGTTTTCTTTAGAAATTAAAGTACATATATTGGGGGGAAAATAATTGTACAAGATTTCCTGAAAATAATATATATTTGTAAATTACTATCAGATCCTTCAGTATGTATGATGCAATGCCTTAAGTAGTAAATTTAAGTGGTTGACTGTATTAACAATTTTACTCTATCAAAAATACAAATCTAGCCCCAGTGTCTAATGAAAGGGTTATGATAATTCAAAATTTTATGGCTTGTTGAGTGAATGTAATTATGATGAATTGTGAGAAAATGTAAGCTTTAATGAGGATGAGTGCAGTGGTGAAGTGATAGCTAAATACTGAGAAGCTGATGTGTACTAAACTGTCCTTCATTGTTTTAAGTATAGCTTTTAAATATGGGATGTTTGATTTTTGATGAAAGCTTTTTAAATATGAAAAGAGGAGGTTTTATTAGTTGTGTAATTAGCTGTTTGTTGATATTATTCAATTGTAAATTTCCTGAATTATCCTCCTAGTGTAACATAGTTCAGTGTAGCACCTGCTGTAGGTTGATGCTGGTCTTGTGATTTTAGTGGTGTGTGTGCTGTGTAGAACTTTCTGTTTAGTTTCTGAAGTCTTAAACTTTTGAATGTTATACTGCAATATTTGCATCCATGTAAAATGTACATTTGTTATAGAATTTTCACATATTCCAGAATTTCTGACTCTAAATATCTTAAAGCAACCAATTAATAATGGTTTAATTATTGAACGTATGATTTCTTTTTGAAAGTAATTGTATGTAAAATTATTTTTTTAAATAATTTCAGTGCACATTGTTATATTAGTCGAATTGATATTTGTGATATGTGTAGGTAGTTTAAGTCTTAATATACAGATGTATTTTAATACAATTAGTTACTATTCATGTAACATCCTTTTTCAATTAACTGTAATGTAAATACATGTATTGTGCGTAACTAATGGCATGATTTATGATTTTTGTGTTTATATTCCATTTTTCCACAGAAACCTGTTTTTATGTTTCTGTATTATTTTCATTTTTTTTTTTTCAAAAAGGAAAGTCCCTTCAAAGTACATATTTCAAAAAATACAAGTTAAAACAAAGAAAATAGTAAGAGGATTTGATAAAAATAGTTCCAGTGTTGAACAGGAAAGTTATTCTTTTGGTCTTTTTATCATATTGTATGGATGTCCCCTGTTTATTATGTTTGTATCTGATTATTTAATAAAATGATAAGAAAATTTCATTTGTCGTCTATATCATGTAGGCCACTAAGATTTTTATTGCCAAGGATATTTGTGTATATACGAGCATAACAATGGAATCTTGTTATTCTTTTTAAAAAAAAAAAACTTTCAAAATTATATGACAGTGATCTAGTGTACAGTACGGCTCACATATTAAGGGGGATGTATGGAGGGTATCTCTCTTACCTCTTTCTATCCCAGTAACTTCCTTAGTTCTTTTATCCTTCCTTGTATCTCCTTCTTACCCGATTACTCCTACCCCTTTTACCCATATATTGATATAATATTATAAGTAAAGTTTCTTTGCTTATTGTAATAATCTCCCTAATAAAGAATTACAGTGGGAGAACTTGCAATGAAATTGTCACGTCAGGCTCAAGTTTTCTAAAAAAAAAAAAAAAGATTATAGTTAAACTACTGGTTCTTATCTACAAAGGCACTCTAAGTCTTCTCCTTGGAATTTAGTGGCTGTCCTTGAATGTAATCCCCCAATCACTTATTAGCTCACCTGAGCTGAAGGCTCAAGTGAGCTTTTCTGATCAAAATTTGTCTGTTGTTAGTCGTTGTGGTTGTCAGCATTGTCATAAACTTCGTACAATTTCATCTTCATCTCCAAAAACCATTGGCCACCTTCAACCAAAATTGGCACAGAATATCCATGGGTAAAGGTGATTCAAGTGTGTTCAAACTTCTTACAAGGGGAGTTAGTCAAGAAATAGTAAAAATTGAGAGGGGTCATTTAATAATCTTCATAAGAACCACTGGGACAGAAAAAATGAAACTTATGTGAAAGCTTCCTGACATAGCGAAGATTCAAGTTTGTTCAAATCATGATGCCAGGGGGTAGGGTGGGGCCACTTTGGGTGATCAAAATTTTACATGATTTTAAATGGGGAAAGTATTTAAAAAAATCTTAAGAACAGCAAAGCCATGATCAGTCATATTTATATAAAAGCATCCACAGGTATTGTATATTCAAATTTGTTCAAATCATAACCCCCAGGGGTAGGGTCGGGCCACAAAGAGAAATTAAAATTTTACATTGGAATGCATAGGAAAAATCTTCTTCTCAGGAACGGCAAAGCTTAGCGATAAATAAGTTTATTTGGAGGCATCTTCAAGTAGCGTAGATTCAGATTTGTTCAGATCATGACCCCCTGGGGTAGAGTTGGGCTACAATGGGAGATCAAAATTTTTATAAAAGTATATTTAGGAAAAATCAATTTCTATACAACAGCAAAGCTATAATTAGTCGTATTCATTTGGAAGCACTTTGTGTAGTGCATACTCAATTTTGTTAAACTCATGACCCTGGAAGTAGGGTGGTGCCACAATGGGCAATCAAAGTTTTACATAGCAAAATATAGGAAAAAGAATCTGCTGTTGAAGAACAGGAAGTCCATAGTTATTCAGGTGAGTGTTGTGAACCATGGGCCTCTTGTTAAAATCAGAGTCTGACCCAGCTAGGTGACAATTGTTAAAACACTTTCAGGCCATCTCTAATACAATTGTTTGCCCTCTCCCAACTGACTGCATAACCTCCAGGAAAGGATTTTTTTTTTAAATTCAATCTGGAATTTTCTCATTGTGTCAAAAACTGTTTTGATTAATACCTTCAATTTTAAAAGATTTTGAAAATTCAGCATTGATATTGAAAATTTTTTGGGGGAAAAATTTTGCCACCTATCAACCAACCCAGGTTTTTTTTTTTAATCCTGAATCATTAGATGGCAAACAAAGCATTATGTTAAAGATGGCCTTACTAATATGTACTGTATGTTTGCCTTAATTAGAAATTGTAACTGATGTATAGTATATCAAAAGATGTATGTAACAGGCTGTATAGTATTCCTTCCTGTTTTTGATTGCACTTTCACAAAGATCTTCCTACATGTACTTATATATTGAGGCATGTGTTTTGTTGGTGCTGTTGCATCCAGTCAAGAGAGATCAATGAAATCCAACCAAAATGGACTGATATACTTGTTTAGTACAAGGAAGGAGACTCTTTGTTTATTGCCTGATATCGTTTAAGAGACAACTTACAATAATTTTAGACCTACTTCTAATATGATATCTTTTGAATTTCTCTGTTCATGAGGATACATGTATTATGCATTATTATATACTTTAAGGAATTATAAGGATTGATCTTTTTTTTTTAAAGGAGAGATTTTAATTCAGGGAGAAGGGATAAAATGGTTCAAAGAAAACTCATCATTTGAGATCTTTTGTTCATACAGCAATGGGCCAATTTCTGATGATATGTTGAAATTTTTTGATGTATCTGGCAATGAATTGGCTGAGGACAGAGGTTTCTCGAGGACTGTCCTCAGCTCCACTCAGAATCAGGTCAATATCTCTCTGGCCAAAGACAGGATTCAAACCGATGACATTGGTAGATACATCTGTAGATATGGAAATGGTCCATCTATATATGTCCATGTTGCTGTTGTCCAAGGTAAGCATCACAATGTCAAGAAATTGACTTGCTTGAAGATTTTTTACTCCAATTGAGACACAAAGATGTCCTTTTTTAGCTCACCTGAGCCAAAGGCTCGAGAGCTTTTCTGATCACATTTTGTCCGATGTCCATCTGTCTGTCTGTCTGTAAATGTTTCACATTTTCGACTTCTCAAGAACCACTTGACCAATTTCAACCAAACTTGCCACAAAGTATCTTTGGGTGAAGAGGATTCAAGTTTGTTCAAATAAAGGACCACGCCCTCTTCAAGGGGAGATAATTAGGAATTACTGAAAAATTAATGACATCTTTTAAAAAATCTTCTTCTCAAGAACCATTGGCCAGGAAAGATAAACTTATGTGGAAACATTTTCAGGTAGAGTAGATTCAAGTTTGTTCAAATCATGACCCCTGGGGGTAGGATGGGGCTACAATTGGTGATTAGAGTTTTTCATAGGAATTCTTTCAAAGTCTTCTCAAGAACAGCAAAGCCATGATTAGTCATATTTATATAGAATCATCCTAAGGTAGTATAGATTCAAGTTTGTTCAAATCATGACCCCTGAGGGTAAGGTCTTTTCTGAAGAACAGCTAAGCCATGTGTGGAAGCATCCTCAGGTAGTGTAGATTCAAGTTTGTTCAAATCATGACCCCAGGGGTAGGGTGGGGCCACAATGTGCGATCAAAGTTTTACATAGGAATACATAGGAAAAAATCTTTTTCTCAAGAACAAAAAAACCATGTTTAGTCATATTGATATAGAGGCATTCTCAGGTAGTGTAGATTCAAATTTGTTCAAACAAGGACCCCCCGGGGGGCCACAATGGGGGCTCAAATTTTTACAAACAAATATATAGGGAAAAATCTTCTGCTCAAGAACTGCAAAGCTATTTGTTAATTATTGAAATGGAAGCATCATCACGTAGTTTAAAATTCACCCCCCCCCCTCCATGTATACTTTTCAATACTGAACTGATTTTTTGCTTTTTTCCCTAGCCAATGTGCTCTGGTGAGCGATGTGGCCCATGGGCCTCTTGTTAAATTGAAAAATGCAATTTACAGAACTGAACCACTTTTTATGATGAAAGCTTTTTTTCAGTAAACACAACACCACAGATGTTCAACCAAACATTAGAACCCCAACAGGACTACACCATTTCCTGTGTGTTCCGTGCTGTACTAGACAATGAGACTAAAGATATGGTTGGGTCTTCAAAAGTGAATTGGTTTAAAAACAACATTGCAGCTGAACAAATTTCAACCAGGCACATTGCTAATAAAAGCATGCTGACCATTAAAAATGCAGGTGAGTTTTATAATCTTCAGTAACATATCCTTCAAAATGACATGTAACACAGTTGATAAAAGTTGTACTTTTTAGCTGACATAAGCTTAAGTTTCAGCTGAACTTTCCTATTTGTTCACTTGTCAGCTTTAACTTTTCCTATACTACTACTTTTTCACCACAACCAGTGGGCTATCTGGAGTCAAACCAGGTACAAACCACTATAAATGTACTTGAATAGTTTAGTGGCTTTGGTGTAGACAGTTATGTGCTAATTCTTGAATACCTTTAAAAAATCATAAATGCAATGCACAGCATGGACATCTGTAGCTCTGATTCATGCTTATGCCAACCACTTCATACCAAGTCATTGTGCGAAAATTTGAATAGTTAATTTATGTATATGTACAATATCTAAAAACAAATGTTTTTTTTCAAATTAAAGAATAGGTTTTTTCCTAGGAATAAGAAATCACTCTCAAAATTAAAGATTTATTATTAGCTCTTCTGAGCCAAAGCCCCAAAGAGCTAATGCTATGGCCATGTGTGCGGTGTGCGTAAACTTTTTAGAATATGGGCCATAACTCAAGTACCCCTTGGCCAATTATTGTCAAATTTGTCACAGGGATCCTTGGCCCAAGGGCTCCCCTTTATACTAAAACTAGGGTTGTGACCCTAAAACAAGGGGAGATAATTAGGTAAATAAAATCAAAAGTACTGGTTGCTAAAAAATCTTCTTCTCAAGAACACCAAACATACAAGGATGAGGATATGTTGAAGAATAAAAACTGTTCAAGGCATCACCTTGGGGCAAAGGGCGTGGTCTCAAGGTCACTTCAAAGTTGACCAAAAATTACATTTTATTAAAATGTTGATATTTTGCTTACTATAAGGACTAGGATCATCAAATCTTGTCAGTTGATGCATCTAAGGACCTCATATCATGTTGACTCAAAAGTAGGTCAGGGTGACCTACTTTGTAAATTTTGTGGCCATTCTTTTTCAAAATGATTTAGAAGCATATTTTGAACAATTTAAGGCTTATGATCATCAAACTTTGTCAGTTGATGCATCTTGGATCCACGGAGTCATCAACTAAAAAAAAGAGGTCACCTTGACCTACTTTTTGAATTTCATGGCTAATCTTTTTCAAAACATTTAAGGTCATTAATTTGAATACTGAGAGGTATAGAATCATTAAATCTTGTAAGATGATGCATCTTGGGGCCATAAAACATACTGATTAAAAAGTAGATCACAGTGACCTACTTTTTGAACTTGCAGGCACTCAATTTCAAAGCATTTTAGAGCCATATTTTGGACATTTTAAGGTCTATGCTCATATAACTTTGTAAGTTGATGCATCTTAGGTCCTCAAAAAACATCAACTGAAAATAAGTTCACTGTGACCTTCTTTTAAAAATTTATGGCTATATTTAAATATTTTTGGTACTATTTGGCGTAGAATAATCAAACTTTGTCAGTTGATATATCTTGGGTCCTCAGAGTAGGTCGACTGAAAAGTAGGTCACTGTGACCTACTTTTCATTTTATATGGCTATAATTAAATATTTTGGGTACTAATTGGCTTAGAATCATCAAATTTTGTCAGTTGATGCATCTTGGGTCTTCAGAGTAAGTCAACTGAAAAGTAGGTCACCGTGACCTACTTTTGAAGTTTTATTGCTTTTTAAAAATATTTTTAGGTACTGATTGGCCTAGAATCACCAAACTTTGTCAGTTGATGCATTTTAGGTCCGTAGAATTAGTTGACTGAAAAGTAGGTCACTGTGACCTATTTTTGAAATTTTATGGCTTTGTTTGAATATATCAGGTATTAATTGGCTTAGAATTATCAAACTTTGTCAGCTGATGCATCTTTGTTCCTCGGAGTATGTTGATTAAAATGTAGGTCACTCTGAATACTTTTGGAATTTTATGGATAGATTTAAATATTTTTGAGTACTAATTTGCGTAGAGTCATCAAATTTTGTTGGTTGATGAATCTTGGGTGCTTGGAGTACATCTACTGAAAAGTAGGTCACTGTGACCTGATTAAATATTTTGTCAGGTACTAATTGGCTAAGAATCATCAAACTTTGTCAGTTCAAAGTATGTCAACTGAAAAGTAGGTCACTGTGACCCACTTTTGAAATTTTATGGTTATAACTAAATATTTTAGGTATTAATTGGCTTAGAATTATCAAACTTTGTCAGTTGTTGCATCTTGGGTCCTTGGAGTACATCAACTGAAAAGTAGGTCAACATGACCTACTTTTGAAATTTTATGGCTTTATATAAATATTCCAGGTACTATTTGGCTTAGAATCATCAAACTTAATTAGTTGATGCATCTTTGGTCCTCAGAGAATGACAAGTGATAAGTAGGTCACCATGACCTACTCTCCAATACTAACTGGCTGAGAATCATATTGGGCTCTCAGAGTGTTTTTTTTCTAAAATGTAGGTCATTATGACCTACCTTTGGAATTCAGGGCTTTATCTAAATATACAGGATACTTAGAGGCTTCAAATAGAAGTGATAGGTTGTACAATTTATCAGAAGAGCGATTCAAGGCCCTTGGGCCTCTTGTTAATGTTCCACTACTTCATGATTTCCAGTTATCACAGACATAGTGCACCCAAAATACTATCCTAAATTTTCATTATGATATTATACAATTATTGACTGTTTAGAAGGGAGACATCACAAATGATCAGGTCTGAATAGGGTTGTCACCCTCAAGTGCAAGTAGCCTTTGGTGACTACCTTACTCAGACCTGATAATTTGTGATGTCTCCTTTCTAAACAATCTGTAATAGTTTTATTATCCTGAAAAATCTAAACTAAATAAAATAGAATTGAAAATATTAGTCAATCGCATGTGTTCTCGTACCCACTTCATAATATGTCAACAGACAACTTTGACAACTCCTTTAGAATTTATTTGTCACCATCAATTATATGAGTTATTTTGTTTACAACATTTAATTTTCATCTAAATTGAGACGACACAGTTGTCACTCTGCATGCTCACTTGGGCTATTTTATTGTCCTCTGAAGGGAGACAACACATTTGTCACCCTGCACATGAGGAAGACATCACAAATTGTCTCCCTGCACATGACATGCTGTAGACCAATCAGATTGACTGTATTATTCTGAAGAATAACAATACTAATTGTCAATGATGATGATAATATATTCAGTCCTTTTATATTAATCATTCACTAAATATAATATTTATATCAAAGGATATATCCTAAGAAGTTGTAAGGTGATGGTTAAAGATATAATTTAAGAAGGCAGGGGAGGCAACATTTGCATACAGTTCATGACTGGGTATGCATGTATAATGTTTGTCAGTAAAAAATGCATACTTGGGTTCTTAACCCCTGGTATAAATAACCACTTTTTTAGCTCACCTGAGCCGAAGAATCAAGTGAGCTTTTCTAATCAAAATTTGTGCGTCGTCATTGTTGTCGGTGTCATAAAATTTTAACAGTTTTATCGTCTTCTCTAAAACCACTGGGCCAATTTCAACTAAATTTGACACAGGGTATGCCTGGGTAAAGGGGATTAATTTTGTTTAGTGAAGGGCCACATCCTCTTCCAAGGGGAGATAATCAAGAAATAGTAAAAACTAGGTGGGGGCATAATTAAGAATTAGTAAAAATTTAATGGTACCTTTAAAATTCTTCTTCTCAAGAACCAGTGGGCCAGAAAAGATGAAACTTATATGAAAGCTTCTTGACATAGTGTGGATGTGAGTTTCTTCAAATCATGACCTCCAGGGGTAGGATGGGGCAATTATGGGTGAAAAAAGTACATGGGTATATACATTGTATAGGAAAAATCTTCTTCTTAAGAATGGCAAAGCCATGATCAGTCATTTTTATATGGAAGCATCCTCAGGTGTATAGATTCAAGTTTATTCAAATCATGACCCCACTGGGGACAGGGTGGGACCAAAATGGGTATCAAAGTATTACATAGGAAAACTAAGGAAAAATCTTTTAAAAATCCTTTTCCGAGAAATTCATGATTGGTCGTATTTTTATGGAAGCATCCTCAGGAAGTGTAGATTCAAGTTTGTTCAATCATGTTCTTCCTGGGATAGGGTGGGGCCACTTAGGGCAAACAAAGTTTTACATGGGTAAATACAGGAAAAACAGCAAAGCCTTGATCAGTCACATTTAATTAGAAACATCTTCAGGTAGTGTAGATTCAAGTTGTTCAGATCATGGCCTGCTGCGGTAAGGTGTAGGATGAGTCCACAATAGACAATCAAAGTTTTACATAGGAACACATACAAAAAACTTACAAAAATCTTTTTACCAGTAACAGCAAGGTCATGGTTAGTCATCATATGGAAGCATCCTCAGGTAGTCTAGACTCAAGTTTGTTCAATCATGATCCTCAGGGGTAAGGTGTAAGGTGGGTCCACAATGGGCAATAGGAATGCATACAAAAAATCTTTTCAAGAACAGGAAAGCCTTGGTTAGTCATATTTATATGGAAGCATCTTCAGGTGGTATAGATTCATATTTTTTCAAATCATGACCCCCAGGGGTAGGGTGAAGCTTCAACTAGCAGTCAAAGTTTTATGAATGTATAGGAAGAAGAATCTACTGATGAAGAACAAGAAGGACCATATGTACTCAGGTGAACATTGTGGCCCATGGGCCTGTTGTTACAATGTGTAGTAAAACATAGTTACAGCAAAGGCATGTGTAATGAATTGTAATGAATGAACACAGTGACCCTATTTTTTTATGCCCCCATAATCAAAGATTCGGGGGCATATAGTTTTTGCCCTGTCCATCCGTCTGTCTGTCTGTTTTATCTGCAAAAAACTCTGCCCATAACTTTTGATTGATTGGAGCTATGGCTTTCATATTTCATGTGTGTATTCCTTGTGACAAGACCTTTCTTTTGGTACCATCATATTTGACCTTGACCTTGGAGTTTGACCTACTTTTGAAAAACTTTAACCTTGGCCATAACTTTTGAACAGTTGGTGTTAGGTCTTTCATACTTCACATCTGGATTTTTTGTGTCAAGACCTTTCTTTAGATACCAACAACTTTGACCCTTTGACCTTGAACTTGGAGTTTGACCTACTTTTGAAAAACTTTAACCTTGGCCATAACTTTTGAACAGTTGGTGTTAGGGCTTTCATACTTCACATGTATATTCCTTGTGACAAGACCTTCCTTAGGATACCAACAATTTTGGCATTGACCTTGACCCTGTAGTTTGACCTAATTTTAAAAAATTTAAACCTTGGCCATAACATTTGAACATTTGGTTCTACGGCTTTCACATTTCATGATCATGTGTATAACTTGTGACAAGACCTTCCCTTGGGCACCATTTGACCTTGACGTTGCCATTTTACTTAATTTGAAAAAACTTTAACCTTCGCCATAATTTTTCACCAGTTTGTACTAAGGCTTTCATTTTTCACAGGTATATTTCTCGAGACAAGACCTTTCTTTGGGTACCAACATTTTTGATTTCTTGACCTGGAGTTTTACTTGCATTTGAGAAACTTTAACCTTCACCATAAGCTGCCATACTGGGGCATCAGTGTTTCACAAACACATCTTGTTTTTAAAATGTATTATGAACTTGTTGTATATAATGAATTAGGTTTATAAAGAATCAAAGTTGTTCATCCTTCATCCCTGGCACTTCATTTTAAGAGATTTTACTGTATTATAATAATAATAATCATTATTTTACAGTCTGGTCAGATATTGGACTCTATAGCTGTGATTATACAGTTTCTTGGGGTACAAATAGTACGTCTGTAATACATAGTACAGTGGCTTTTAAAGGTCAGTATTTACTAAATTTAGCCAAACTTTTTAGCTCACCTGAGCAAAAGGCTCTGGTAAGCTTTTTTTGATCAAAGGGTATATTGGTCTGTTGTGTCTTGTCTGTAAACTTTTCACATTTTCAAATTCTTCTTTTAGAACAACTTGGTCAATTTCAACCTAAATTGCAACAAAGCATCCTTAGGTGAAGGAAACATATAGGAAAAATCTTTTAAAATCTTATTCTCAAGAATCACTGGGTCAGAAAAAATGAAACTAATGTAAAAGCTTCATTACAAAGCGTAGATTCAAGTTTGTTCAAATCATGACCTCAAGGGCTAGGGTGGGGCCACATTAGGAATCAAAGTTTTACATGGGAATTAATATATACTGGGGAAAAAAAATCTTTGAAAGTCTTCTTCTCAAGAACAGCAAAGCCATGATTACTGTCATGTTGGTATGGAATCTTCAGATAGTGTAGATTCAAGTTAGTTCAAATCATGACCCCAAAGGGTCAAAAGATCAAAGTTTTACATAATAGCATACAGGAAAAAATCTTCAAAAATCTTTTTCTCATGAACAACAAAGCCATGTTTAGTCATACTGATATGGAAGTATCCTCAGGTAGTGTAAACTCAAGTTTGTTCAAATCATGACTTCCTTGGGTAGGGTGGGGCCACAACGGGGGGATCAAGGTTTACATAGGAATATGTAGGAAAAAATCTTCGAAAATTTTCTTTACAAGAAGAGCATAGCCATGTTTTGTCATATTGATATGGAAGCATTTTCAAGTATTGTAGATTCTAGTTTGTTCAAATCATGACCCCTGGGGGGAGGTTGGGACCACAACTCACTACTAGAGATTAATATATTTATGTATTGGGAAAAAATTCTCTAAAATATATTTCTCTAGAACAGCAAAGCCATGTTTAGTCACATTGATATGGAAGTATCTTGAGATAGTGTAGATTCAAGTTTGTTCAAATCATGACCCTGAGGGGTCGGGTGGGGCAGAAGTTTTATGCAGTTTTGAGAAGCTTTAATCTTTTCTGTAACCTTTATAATTCAAAAATCTAAGACACCAAAAGCAGTAGACCAAAATTCTTTGAGTTTATGTGTTCTATTTTTTATTATTTTGAACTTATTTATTTATCACTTTTTGCACAAAATTGGTTCTTGAAATTGTAAGTCCATAATTTAAACACTTACAGGAGAGGTGAGGATCAATGAGAGGAGTCTCCCGAAGTCGGTTAACCTGATCCAGGATGAGGACCTGGAACTGACTTGTCCAGTGTCCGGATATCCCTATCCAGATGTGACTTGGCAGATTGATGGGATGAATATTAGCCCTGATAACAGAAGAACTGTATCAACAGACCCCACTCGAAAGTATCAGAATGCTGTATTAAAGGTGTTTAAAGTGCAGTTTGAAGACCGGGGAAAATATACTTGCACAGGAAGTTCAGATTTAAATACAGTGACATCATCACTCATCACTGTTAGAGTAAAGGGTTGGTAAAGTATAAGAACTAAATTAAAAATATCCTCTCAGAAACATCATGTTTGTCTTATTAATGTAACTTAATATTTTGCATGCATATTAATTACTTTTAAAAGTGATTTTTAATGATAATTTAAACAGTACCCCTTGTTCTTTTTTTTCTCCTGTTGAGGGTTCCAGAATTACAGTCCACAGATGGTTTTATTAAAGACAGAACCATTCTAAAACCAATATATAGTTAAAAAAAGGAGAAGTGCATCAAATCTTTAAAAAATTAACTTCTACAGAGTATTTGAGTATTCCCTAAATGTATAATGAGTTATTACATGTACCTGCATGGCTTAATTTTTATTTCTACAGACAAATATGCAGCTGTGTGGCCTTTTATTGGAATAGTTGTGGAAGTCATTGTGTTGGGTCTTGTTATTTTCTTATGTGAGAAGAGGAGGAAACACAGAGAAGAACAGGCAGAGGCAAATGCTGAACTAGATAATATTGCATCGTAAGTAACAGGGATAAATTACACATTATGAGTACCTCATCCACCTTATGCTTGGACCTATGCATGTTTTTAATGCCCCTCTTCGAAGAAGGGAGGGCATATTGCTTTGCTGCTGTCTGTCGGTCTGTCTGTCTGTCGGTCCACCAACAGTTTCCATTCATTTTCTTTGCAGAGGTTGCATATACTGAAATGAAATTTGGTATACAGATTTATCATAAGAATACCTAGGTCAAGCTGTGTTTTGGGTATGATCGAGCAATTTTTGACAGAGTTATGCCCCTTGGACTTAGAAAATTTCCAGTTATTTGTTTTCCGTTCATAATCTCTGCAAAGGTTGAACATGAGAAAGGTGTTTTTGCTAAAGATGTGATGTAGAAGTCTATTTCTGGTTGATGCATCTCAGATAGTACTGGTAGATGACCCCTATTGATTTTAAGTTCAAAAGGTCAATTTCATTTCCATGTACACTGCCCATAATGTATACTGCCCATAATAAAGGCTTGTGCACCCTATATTTATGTATGTCAAATGGGGAGGGCATAAGTGTTTCAAAAATGTCTCTTGTTTAAATAATTTTTACATACCTTAAGGAATTAAGTAGTAAATTTCAAATTCAAATTTTCACAGCCCTTCAAAAGTTCTCAGCATTACTTGAATGGAGTCAATTGAATTTGCAATCAATAATTATCCACTTAAAAAAGATCACTAACATTAAATATCAATTAAACAGAGATTTAACATTTTGAAAAGTATTTATCCAGTTCCATATAACTGGGTATTTTCGTGACCAGCAAATTTAGCAATTTTATCCTAAAGGGGCATTTATTATAAGGATGGTTGATTTTAAGCACTAAAAATTAGGATAAACTCTTTTTATCTTCTTGGCCAACATTTGTGATTTAATAATTAACTACACATATTTTTAACATTGCCATAACTAATAATGACAAAATTAGATGGTCACTAAAAATTTCCATTATACAATATTTTTATAAAATAATTAACTGCAAGTCTACAGTGTAAAGCAGATTCACCTTGCTGCAAAGTTTAAACTTGAGTATTCTTCTACTTCACAGAAAACGAACTAGTGAGAAGAGACGTTCAGATGTCCGACAAAGAAGCACCACGCAGTAAACATCACTAACAGCTGTGATAGACTTCAGCAATAAACATCACAATCAAATGTCATGGAGACATCATAATCATAATCAGCTGTGATCAACTGTTATGGAACATTTAAAATCATAGTCAGCTATGTTTAACTGTCATCAAGCAATTAACATATCAAAATCATCTGTGATCAATTGTCATTAGCATCATAAATTTGGAGCCAGGATGTGGAGGGGTAGGGGTTGGGGTTGGGGGTTGAGGTCAGTGACACTCTGTTTACTGGGTCATAGGGATATGTTCTGTTGGAATATGGAATATGTCACCATTTTTTTGCTTCTAAATACATGATTATGTATGAATGAATATGCATGTATGGAATAAGATGCTACTACATGTAGTAATTGTTTAAACATGGAGAAAATGAAAAAAAGCAACACAATTTTTGTAACAATTGAATTGTTGAATTGGTTACCTAATGTAAATAAGTGTATAATTAGAAGATTTAGAATGTGTGAAAAAAAAAATATGGTAAATGATCAATGACTCTGCAGTATGCCCCTAGCCCAAATTTGTTGTAATAGTAAGGTGTCAGTCTATTTGTCTGTCTGTAAACAATTTTCAAAAACACTGGTCCTCCTAAGTTCTGGTCCAATTTCAATATGACTTGGTACACAAATACATTGTGCTATGGTACATAATTCTTATTTCAGTTTTTAATTTCGACAAACAATTTTGCCATGATTACTAAAAATAGAAATTTCTTTGAAATTCTTTCAAAATGCTACTAGGTACTCCCCACAGTTTCAAATGGTCCAGTTTCCATAAGATTTGATACACAAATATACTGTACGACGATTCATAATTCTGTGTACCGTTGTTTCTTATTTCGACTAAAGCATTGCCATTGTTGCTAAAAATAGAAATTTCTTTGAAATTCTTTCAAACCACTACTCCTCCTACAGTTTTGTTCATTAAGATTTCGAACACAAGTAGATTATGTGAGGACACAATTCTATATACATGTATAGGTTTTTGATTTTGACAAACAAAAAAATCATAGGTAAATGTAAAATTGATGCCAGTGATGTTTTAGTAACATTACTATCAAAAATTATTTATTAAATGTATTTTTCGTATCAGATATGACAACTTTTAAAAACAGCTAGGGTCAGGAATAGGAATTGCATGGTGTCAGTTTCCTACAAGGATAATTTCAAACTAAAAGCAATGTATATATTTTATTGTCCAACATAAAATTTGATACTGTATTTGTAATTCTTGAAAAAAATCAGACTTTGTTTAAGTGTTGAATTCATTAAACAAATTCAATAATTATAACAATTTTTTAACAATTATTATAAAAATGAATTTAATCTAACACATTACAGTCTTTTACTGCGGTATATTTTTAAACATATTTTTTTGAATTTCATTTTCACAAATTACACTGTTATAACAAATTTGCTAAATTGAAATTTTTAAATTGTCTTATTTGTTCTCATCAAATTTGCAATTACTGTATACAATGTTAATTTTACCCCATGTTATTTTTGCCCTTTCACACTTGCAAATAATTTTGCTCCGTTTTAAAGTCCCTCAGTCACGGTTCTGTTTAAGAAATGATACTGTATTCTAGTATGAATAAATAATTGCCCTGTCTTGTGTCTAGGGAGAAAGGGGCAAAAATAGAATGGAGGTGAAAATTTCCCTGTGTACAGAATCAGAAATTGGATATTAAAGAGCCATTCTCTATAATGACTTGAACTTTTATATAGGAACTGTGGCACACATAGTCTCAGAATTTCTCCAAACTCTTTATGATAATAGTCTTTGATACCGTAAACTCAAATCAGATAAAAATTGGTTGCTACATGCCAAGGTTACCATGACAACATGTCCTTAAGTTTGAAAAATGTCATTTTTTAACATGTTCTGAGTCCCATAGTTAATGTTTTCAGCAAAGCAAACAAGTGGCAATGATTGTTTCAGAAAGTCGAAGGCCTGATGTCTTAAATGCATGATAAACATATTTGGGAAATCAACTATTACATATGTTATTATGGAAACAAAGTATTCAAAAGTAATAATTTGGTTCATTCAATTTATAAAGTCATACACTTAAAAAAAAAACAACTAATAGGTTGAAATGCAACCAAATAATAGACAAAAGATCCTTAATGTAACATATACCAAGGAAGAAATATGATATTTCTCATTGGGTGGCAATGGTTGCCATGGTTTTAATACCACGAAGGGATTTCAAATTTACTCTCTGTATGTTTTAATCTGATCCTATTTTTTTAAAAAAGCACTTTTCTGTATACATGTAACTGGTGATCAATCTTTAAAGGCATGGTGTGGTCATACTTTTCACATTTCAAAAAATTCAAATTAAATTCTTCAAATAGATCATTGATATGGAAATAAGCAGAAAAAAATATGCATAAAAATTTGAAAAATATTCTGTTTCATTGGATATGTACCCTTGTATGTAGATTCCCAAAACTTATATGATTAATATTCATGAACAACTAACCCCACTTTCAATTTTGACTACCACCCAATCTCTAACTGGATGCAAGAAGATGGCACATAGGGTTTAATATTGATATAAAGTTAACAAAATCGAACATTTTCTCTTCTTGGTAACCATAGCAACAGTGTTGTATTTTTCATCAAACTTTATCAGTATATGATAGTCAACTTGAGTACTACCAGATAGGTACTATTCAATGTGAGTCAAATAATTTGTTTCTTGATTAAAAGATAAGTAAATTCCTAAAGCAGCAAAAAAATGTCACTTTAAACAAGGGGAACATTGTTGCCATGGTAACACTGCAAAGTAGCAATATATCCCAATTTTTCTTATTATGTCGGTGTTGCAAGGTCCTAAGAATGTATATTTGCCAGTCTTGAATTTTCATGTTTTTCCTCAAGATAGTAGCACTAATCCAATCTTATTATGCAACAGATTTTTCATGGTTACACTGTGTTACCATGGCAACCATGAAAGTTATTCTTAGAATAATATTGCCAATACCTAATTAATTTAGGTAAAATATTTTTATACCCCCCGCAAACGAAGTTTAGGGGGGGTATATTGGAATCAGCATGTCCGTCTGTCTGTAGACGAGATTTTGTCTGGACCATTTCTTGGAAACTGTTGGAAGGATTTGCCTGAAAATTTGTACACTTATTATTCGCCATATGAAGGTGTGCACCTGGTATTTTCATTATGATTGGATAATTTTTTTGCATTTTACAGGTGTTTTTTTTCATTTTTATTATGTGGTTTTGTCTGGATCTGTTCCCAGAAACTATTGCATAGATTTGTATGAAAATTTGTACACTTATTATTTACCATATGAAGATGTGCACCTGGTACTTTCAACATTATTTGATAATTTTTCTGCATTTTACAGGTGTTTTTTTTTTTTTTTTTTAATTTTTATTGACTTAGTCATTTCGGGTTCATGTCTAAGGTTTGAGACATAGAATCTAGAACATCTGTACAAAAATGTGAACTACAGCTTAAAACTTCTCATTAGAACTAAAAAAAAACACAAAGTATTAAAAACAGTTTTTCCATTACACAGCAGATAGTGTACCGGTAAGTCCATTTGTCCCTTGGGAGTAATGAGTGGACATGCATCCAGTTAAAGATTAATTAATGAGTTCAGTGTGGGAAGCTGTTAGGGCATCTCTGATCAAGCAGGTCTTATCTATATCTCCGGGGAATTGGGCAGAAAGAAATGAAGATCTCTGTTGTCTAAGTCTCTTAATTGTTATTTATGTCTGTCAAAATACATAGTTACTAAAACCAGCCTTTTATTTTTAAAATGAGTTTGATATAAAGGTATTAAAATCAATTTGATTTTGTATAATTAATTATGATATTTTTTTTTCAAAAATCAATTTGCAGAGTGTCATGTCTCACAAAGATGACAGATAGTTGCAAACTATTTTTCAATGTAATAAAAAACACTGTAATTATTAGTATTGATGTTTTATTAGGCTGCACCTTAGTTTCATTCATTAAATAAAGTGCCCCACCACAGCATGATACGCCCATCAAATATTGTTAAATTATCATAAACAGTTTAGATTCAATTGTTCGAATGACATCTTAGCGAGACAAGGCAGTCTGCAATTTGTTGTAAAGATATAAAAATTCAAATAAAAAATGTACAATAAATAATTAGTTTAAATTATATTATACAATATCATATAAGTTTTAATTATTATATACAATATCAAATTACTTTTAATTACATCAAATTTATCTTGAAAGTAAGACTAGCCAACAAGAACAATTCAATACAACATAAGCAATTAATTAAGAGACTGATTCCTTTTGCCCATTTCCCAAGAGATGTAGATAACACCTGCTTGATCAGAGATGCTCTACCAGTTATCTCCTCACACTAAACTCATTAATTTATCTCTAATTTGACATGCAATTTTCTGCTATCAAAATTTTCCTTTACCAGTGCCTGATCATTACACCCATGGGAGAGGTGGAATTTTTCTTGTTACAGATTGCTGTAAAGAACATAATGAAAGAAATTTGAAAACTAGTATTTTCTTGATTGAACACTTTTTTAATAAAGATACTGCAATACTCTGACATCTTTTGGGATTGCGTAATTTAAAAGTTAAAAGACATAGTTTTTTGATTCTAAGTCTAATGGTTTTCTAGTTATGATTTTTCCATATTTGGCCATAGCGTCTTTATTAAAGGTCAGAGCGACCTGGTTTTAATGTGCGACACACCTTCTACCCTAGATGTATCAGCTGACAAAGTTTGATAATTCTAGGCCTAATAGTATTAAAGTTATGAGTCGGACATGAAAAAGCTAACATGCGGACGGACGGACGGACATGAACGCTATAACATAATACGTCTTATACGTCTTAAGACAGACATATAAAAAAAATATAATGACTAATTAAATTTTCACTGTAAATGTTTAAGGAAATTGTGAACACCTCTCACATCTAGAAAACATTAGTGATTTGGTACTTTCTCTGAAAAACCCAGCGGGGGGTATTTGTCCCTTTTGGACAGTTCTAGTTATTGTTTTCTTTAGTTGTTGATTGAGTTTGATCATGCAA